ATTAGTAATTCCAACCTCTAAAAGAATGTGATCTAACGCAGTCTGTGTTGATATCAATGTCACAGATTAACAACTGAAAAACAAACAAATGGATACATTTAATGATCAAATAGATGATGATAAATACTTAATGCAGCTGCAGTCAGAGGAGATTGAAGATGAAGGCAGCCAGGAGTCAAAAACTGTTTTATAATTCCAGGCATTCTAGAATGAGAAAAGAGAAGAGTTGTTCTGCTTGGTGTGAACTGGGGGGTTCCCTGTGGAGAGGGCAGGCGTGATATGGATTGCCTGTATTTCTAGAATTGCATGTTATTTCAGCTGTGGTTAGGATTTGAGTACAGAAAAGAAAGAATCACACTAATATCCACAAGGAATATATTTAGGCTGATATTTATTTAACATGAGTCCAATAGATGGAAGTGGTGAAAAATGGGCGTTTGCAGTCAAATGAACTGGATTCAAATCCCGGGCCTCACGTATTAAGCTTGGGACCTTAAATGAGTTGTGTAAGTCTTCTGAGGCTCAGTTTCCTTTACTGGTACAATAGCAATAATAATTTCTGGCAACTGCATTGATAAAAGAATAACTGAAATAACATATGCAAATATATTAGTACAGTTCCTGGTACAAAACTTAGTAAGCGGCAGTCCACACTTTCCTTCTTGCTTTCTTTCCTTCCATTCACCCATCCACAAATATTTAAGAAATTCTTTTTTTGTTTTTGAAATGGAGTCTTCCTCTCTTTCCCAGGCTGGAGTGCAGTGGTGTGATCTCGGCTCACTACAACCTCTGCCTCCCAGGTTCAAGCGATTCTCCTGCCTCAGCCTCCCAAGTAGCTGGGATTACAGGCACACGCCACCACGCCTGGCTAATTTCTGTATTTTTAGTAGAGATGGGGTTTCACCATGTTGGTCAGGTTGGACTTGAACCCCTGACCTCATGATCCACCCTCCTTAGCCTCCCAAAGTGCTTACACGTGTGAGCCACCGTGTCCGGCCAAGAAATTCTTATGATGTGCCATGTGCTGTGACTAACGGTGAGATGTAGTGTAAATGGAATTATTTGTGCCCTCAAGGAAACTTTGGAGTGATAGAAGTGTTTTACTAATTGTTTGGAATGGTAGTTGCATGACTGCTTACACTTAGCCAAACTCATCAAACTGAGTATTAAAATGAATAAATTTTGTTATATGCAAATTCTATCTGAATAAAGCTATAAGAAAGTATTTGGGCCCATGTGGAGCTACCAGAATGGTGTGGAAAAAGAGACATTAAGCAAATCGTCGCATAACTATGAAGTATAGCTGTGAGAAAGATTAAGAAGGAAAAGAAAGGACAACAAAGAATGCTTCAAAAAGGACCTATTCCTGGCTGGGAGAGGTGGAGGGCCAAGAACAGTTCCTTCTGGATGGGACGTTCAACCTGATCATCATTATCGTCATCAAGTTTAATGACTTCTGAGATGTGCACTGGTGAATACTAATCAGGATGAAACACAGTCACACCTCTGAGCTGTATCCGTGCTAAACCCGTGAGGATGTTAGAACTGACCCACCTGCAGTAACAGAGTTTTCTTGCCTCCAGTATCCTCAGACTGCTCTGATAGACAGCAATGTCCATAGTATCCACGCCACATAATTTACTGATTGATATAATAATAATGTCTTCACTAGATTTATGGGCAAGACCTTTGTTCAGAAATAAATAAAGAAGATCAGACCAGAATTAAGTATCATCTATGATTTTTGCCTCTTTGGCATCTAATCAATTAAAATGAAAAATAACCCAGGTGTCTTTCTAAGATCCCAGAGTTTGATTTTTGATTTAATAAAAATCACATAAGTAACAAAGTCATCGATGTTGTAACTAGTTTCAGGCTATGTAATGGCAGTCACTCTGGGTGCAAATCAGTGGCTATGACTTCATTTCTGCAAGGTATTGTAGATACAAACATGTGGTTAGCTACAAATGAAAGGAAAATGAAGGACTGCTTCAGCAGGAAAGCATTGCAAAATTAGATTTCATGTATAAGGACTACATTTTCAGATTAACCAGACAGGAAAAACCATGTTGGAAAAAAATGAAGTCTTATAATGTAAGATCTGGGAATTAAGAAATATTAAGTAAAGTAAGATTTAAAAAACAATATTTAAAGTAAGATTTAAAAAACAATATTTTTTTAAAAAGGAAAAGAAAATGAGAATAGGAGGAATGGTAAAGAAGGAAATAGAAAGATTAAATAGTACCCTTTGTGAGAGACGTAGTGTGACAGATAACTTACCACAACAAATTTTAATTTGTATTTGTGAAACATTATACTTTAAAAAGCATTTCAGATCATGTGAGAGTATGGCTCTGAATTATAAACTTCAGTAACTCTTCGTATTTGCTGACAGATTATAACTAGTGAGATTTTTCCAAAATAATTAATTTATAATTACTTCCAAATAGTTTCTATAATTATTAAATAAATCTGACAGAGTCCAGGGCTAATACGTGATGTAGAAAGACAGAAAAATGCTTTATGTGAGTCTAGAAGAAAATGCAAATAATAGTCTTCTTACTAGCGTTAGGATGCATTATCACTGTACCACAGTTTGTCACTTTTCATACTTAAAAGTGAGTTAAATAAGGTATTAAGTTAAAATTAAAAATTCTAGTTTGACAAATGGGTGGGAAGAGCTTTACATGAAAAGCTTTATTCTTTTTTTTTAAATAAATTTTATTGTGCATGCTTAAGGCATACCACATGATATTATGGGATGCATATAGAGGTAGTAAAATGGTTACTATGGTGAAACAATTACCATAGCCATCACCTCATAGCTATCTGTGCCAGCTGATGGCAAGAGGAGAAAAGCAACTGTAATCTACTCAGCAAAAATTCTGAGTCTAATATGCTTTATTAACTCTGGTCCTTAAGTTATGCTGTACATTAGATCTTCCAACTTGTCCATTCTGCATATCTGCTACTTTGTATCCTTTCATCTACCTTTCTCCATTGCCTAAACCCCAACCACTGTTTTATTCTCTCAATCTGTGTATTTGATCTTTTTTTCAGATTCCATATATAAGTGACATCATGCAATATTTTTCTTTTTCTGTCTGGCTTATTTCACTTAGCATAATATCCTCCAGGTCTATTCAAATTATGGATAAATGGCAGCATTTCCTTCTTTTTTTCTTTTTGGAGGGTGGTGAATACAGAGGATTTTATTGTTGATGAAAGTGGCTTTCAGTGGGAAGGGGAGCTGGAAAGGGTATGGAGTGGGAAAGTGGTCATCCCCTGGACTCTGGCTGTCCCCGGCCAGGCTATTCTCTGAAGTCCCACTGTCAAGCCGTCCCTCTGAAGTCAAGCTGCTTCTCTGACATCTGGCTGCTTCTTCTCTTCTCTTCTTTTCTGCCGTTCCTCTGCCAGTGGAGCCTGGGGTTTTTATGGGTACAGAATGGGCGGGCCAGGGGGCTTTGAGAAAAGGCAACATTTGAGCAGAAAAATGGGGATGTTCTCACTTTGGGCCATGGTTCTAGGCTTGAGGGTGGGGCTTCACCAGGGACCCCACCCTTTTCTGCCTAGAATTTCTCTGCCTCCTGTCCCTGTCAAAACCATAGTGTAAGGGAGCATATCAGCGGTTAATCTGAAGCCAGAAGTGTGGAGAGAGGCATTTCCTTCTTTTTAAGGCAGTGAGATGCTTATGTCTATCTAGCCATCTAGCTGGCAAGCTCACAGTCTGTCTATTCCTTCACTGACAGACACTTAGGTTGTCTCGTTCCTTGGCTATTGTGAATAATGCTGCAATGAACATGGGAGAGCAGAAGTCTTTATGAGGTGGTTACTTAATTTTCTTTAGGTATATACCCACACGAGGAATTGCTGGATCATATAGGAGTTTTGTTTTTAACTTCTTTAGGAATCTCCAAACTGTGGTCCATAATGGCTGCACCAATCCACATTCCCACCCACAGTGTACAAGCTCCCCCTTTCCACATTCTCATCAACACTTCTTATCTCTTGCCTTTTTGATAATAGCAATCCTAACAGATGTGAAGTATTATCTCGCAGTAGTTTTGATTTGCATTTCCCTGATGACTAGTGACATTGGGCACCTTTTCATATACCTATTGGTCATTTATATGTCTTCTTTGGTAAAGTATCTATTCAGGTCTTTTACCCATTTTTCATTGAGTTATAT